TTATCATCTTGATCTAAATGCAAGATCACAGATGATATGATCTTGCATTTAGAAAATCTTAAGGAATTCACTAAAAAGCTCTAGAACTAACCCACAAGTTCACAAAGGTTGCCTAATACAAGATCAATACACAAAAATAAATTGTATATGTTTTTGTGTAGACATGTTTTCATTTATCTTGGTTATATACTTGGAAGTGAAATTGTTGGGTTATATGGTAAATATGTTTAATCATTTGAGGTACTGCTAGACTGTTTTCCAAGCTGGTTGCACCATGTTACATTCCTCCCAGCCCTGGAGGGTTCCCAGCTCCCCACATCATCACCAACACTCCTTATTATCTGTCTTTTTGATTCCAGCCAATCTGATTGGTGTGATGTACTATCATGTTGTGGTTTTGATTTGGATTTCCTTGATGATTAATGATGCTAAGTGTCTTTTCATGTACTTACTAATCACCTGTATGTCTTCCTTGAAGAAGTGTCTATTCAGATCTTTTTGCCTATCTTTTAATGGGGTAACTGTCCTTTTATCATTGAGCTGTAAGAGCTTTTCACGTATTCTAGATGCAAGTCCCTTATTGTATCTGATCTGCAAATATTTTCTCCCGTTCTGTGGGTTTTCTTTTTCACTTCCTTGATAGTGTCCTGTGATGAACAACAGTTGTTAATTTTTGTTAAGTCCAGTTTATGTATTTTCTTGTTTGTCATTCCTGCTTTCGGTGCCACATCTAAGAATCCACTGCCAAATCTGAAGTCACGATGATTCCCCACTGTTTTCTTCTAAGAGTTTTATGGTTTTAGTTCTTTCATTTAGGCCTCTGATCCAGTTTTGATTAATTCTTGTGTATGGTGTGAGGTGAGAGTCCAACTTCATTCTTTTGCATGAGGAGATAGAGTTGTCTCAGCAGCATTTACAGAAAGACTGTTCTTTCCTCATCAAGTGGTCTTGGCCCCTTTGTTGAAAATAAATTGATTATGGACACATGGACTTATTTCTGGACCCCCCATTGGTTTCTATGTCTATCTTTATGTGAGTGTAATACTATCTTGATTACTATAGCTTTGTAGTAAGTTTGAAATAGGTGTGGAGTCCTAATGAGGAAATAGGAGTCAGGCTGGTGGGACCAGGGGAAAGCAAAGACATAAAGCAGATGAGTGACAAGTCTGCCTTTCCATGATCTAGGACACCAGCCCTCCTGGCAAACGGCTCACAATTTTCCTGTGCAGAGCTATCACCAGACACCACAGTTAGCTCACCGCCGCCTTGGTGCTACGGTGCTGCACAAAGCCCTCTTCTGCATAAATGCCACCTGTAAAATCTCCAGCAAGCCTTGGTCTTCTCACAGGCAGCCTCTCTCCTCAGGGCTGCCTGTTGCCTCCTCAAAACGTGTTTTCTTTCTTTCTCTCATCAACCTGCCTTTCTTTACCTACAACCGTCTTGGAAAATTCATCACCCCCATGCTGCTGGCTGAGATAGCCATTGCTCTCCAGCAGCCATAGGGACACGTGAGTCCTACTACTTTGATCTTCTTTTTTAGGATTGTTTTGTCTAATTTGTGCCGGTTTCTACAGAGAAGTTGGCTGGGGTTCTAACTGGGATTGTACTGAATTTGTAGATTGGGTTTGTGACAGTGAAATGTCCAGAATCTCTGCCCCATCCCGCAAGTGTTTACACCAGATGCTTTTGTGCAGATGAGGGAACCCGCACAGAGCCTCGTCTGAGCATGCCACATGCGCTCTGGGGAAATGGGTGGAGCCCCAGGCCGGGGAGGAACCTGGCCTCTTCAGTTTCTGTGTGGTGGCTTGGGATTCGACTTGTGAGGTGGGAGGCTGTTAGCAGGACTCCATCTTGCTTTGTGAGTTTTTTTTTTCTTTTTTTCCCTTTGTTGCCCAATAAAATCCTGCTCTACTCACCCTTCGATGTGTTCATGTGCCTAGACTTTCCTGGTTGTATGACAAGAACCCAGCTGAACTAAGGAGCAAAATTCCACAATAGTTTGTATATTGCCATCTTAATATAGCAAGAATTCTGAATCCATGAACACGGGATATTTTTCCATTTATTTAGCTCTTCAGTTGTTTTGGACGACGTTTTGTAGTTTTTGGAGTACAAATTTGTACTTCCTGTGTTATTCCTAAGTACCCATTCTTTTGATGCTTTCGCGAATGGAATTTTCCTGGGTTTCATCTTCAGATTGTTCATTGCAAGTATATAAACATACAATTGATTTTTGTGTATTGATCCTGTATTCTGCAACCTTGTTGAACCTGTGGATTAGTTCTAGAGCTTTTTAGTGAATTCCTTAAGATTTTCTATATGCAAGATCATATCATCTGTGAATAGAAACAGCTTGCTTCTTCCTTCCCAGTTTGGATGTCTTTTATTTTCACATCCATTGAGGATTGCACTTTTCTAAATTCTGTTGCAAATGAAACCATCCCTCTAGGAAGAGAATGGGAGCTGTTATGAGGGTCTGCTTCTTCCTCTGGGCAAAATCTCAGAGCCCTGGAGCTCGGAGTGGGGACAATGGCAATCTTCTCCTGAGTGACACCCAAGGCTCTGTGCTCCACTGCATGTGTGTTGGAGGGACACACAGGTCTTAGCTTGCTTCTCCCAGCATGGAACCAATGCCTGTGAACCAGACCCAGGTGATCTGGCCTCCTGTGTTCTTAGGAACACCATTCCTAAGGCTGAAGACTGAGTGTCCATTCCACAAACACAGGCTGGGCAGAACAAGAGCATCTCCAGTTCGGGGCCCACTCACCTGGGATTTAGTCTCAGCAATAGGCAGCTGCGGACAAGATAAGAAAAGCAAAGCCCTGCCCCTTCCAGGAAGAAGGCCCTTTGACTAGGAGCTGTGGGGAGAAGAACTTGTGTGCTTGGCTGCAGCTTCTGGAGTGTATCTGAGTTGCTGAGCTGGGAGCAGCGGGGAGAGAGCAGGTTTTAGCTCAAATACCAGGGACATTTGCTGTTCTTGCCAAATTACAGTAGCTTTTTTTGAATAAATGTTTCCTCTTAGGAGCATACAGCAGAGACCTTAAATGATTGGTTTTTAATCTTTTACAAAAGTTTTGCTGGAAAGTGGGTCGAGGGAGCTCCCCGTGCAGTCATTCTGGGGGTCTCTCACCTGGCTTGCACTTGAAATCCATTGGTCATTGAGCTTTCAGTCTTGGGCAGAGGTATTTATCTCTGATTTTTCTTTTCACGTAGACTCTAGTTGCAGCCTTATTTGTAATAGCCCCAACTGGAACCAACCAAATGCTCATCAGTAGTGAATGGATAAATACGTTGTGATAGATCACTACTCAATGACATTGTGCTAAGGGAAAGGCAGACAAAATGCAGACACTTGATGAACCTATGCACATCAAATCCAGAAAGTGCAATGGCACCCGCAGGAAACCTTTGACGGGCAGAGGGTGGGGGGCTGGGGGACTGACAGGGAAACCTGGGGAGGGGAGTGATGAATGTGTTTACTGTCTTGACTGGGGTGCTGGTGTCATGGGTGTATCACATGACAAACCTATTACATGCACTTTGAATATGCGTCTACTGTATGCCAATCACATCTGAATACAGACATGAAAGCTGAAATCAGGAGAGAAAGTCCCGTTGTCGGCTCTACAGTTTATCTTGTCATGTTGACTTTTGCTACTGGCTGGCCAGCTAGCTAGACATATTTATTCCATTCAGTCAACTGGTCTGCAGCGCTCCAGAAGCCGCTGAGACTCCCCTGAAAATGGACTGTTTCTCTCCAGCATTGTGCATTAACTTGGCAAGTGTCCTTTGTTAACGAATGGAGTCAGCTGAGACATGAAACAGCCAGTTATCAAGCACCAAACTGAGGCATTCTTGACAAAAATGGTTGACTTTCCCTTGGCTTCCGCTGAAGCCCTGGGAGCCCACAGTGAACCATCTCTGAGGCAGGTTTGCTCTGGTTGGGACTTTGAACGAACCCAGCATGCAGGACCACGCAGGGCCTGCCTGAGCTTGGAGCAGCGCCTTCCCAGTGGAGCCTGCAGCCTTCCTATATCACACTCCTCAAGGTACCTGAGGATCCATTATATTTTAATTTATTATGAAGTCTGAAACACTATAAGCTTCTTGGGGACAGGTACAGGCCAAAGATCTTAAAAGGCCCGAGCACTTCTGGAACAAAAAAACCCTTCATTAGAATGAAGTATCACAACCACGATCAAAATCTTGCACTTACAGGGAAAGGGCCATGTTGTAACTATGAAGTTATTCTAGGGTGTGTAAAATGCAGGAGGACAGAGGTTTCTGACCTTAAATAAGAGGGGCTTTTAGGACTCAGGGTCAAGCGCTTATAAGGTGGTTTTAAGGGTATGAAATCCTGCTGATCTTCATCTTCATAACGGGCAGAACTCTACTTCTGGGTAAAAAGTGAGGCTGTGAGAGCAGCACCAGCATCCCAGGCTGGGACCCAGATGGCTACATGACCGTCAGTGTTTTTTCCAGAAGGATGCTGTACATACTGGTCTGCTGATGGGAAACCAAAACCTTAGTTGCTTTTGGAAACCGACACCTTTGAGAACTGCATGATCAGGGCTGGGGCACAGCTGCGTTCCCCGCCGCCCAGCTGCAACCTCGGCCAAGTGGTCGCCTCCCAGCGCCTCTGTTCCCCCCTCCTGTGAGAGACACAAGAGCCCCTGCCACACGGGGCCATGTGAGGGTTTGGAGTCAGGTGCGTTAGCAGGTTCAGAGGGGTGTCTGGCACACGGCGAGCTCACAGCTGCTAGCTATGATTTTGGGCCCCCCTTTAGTTGTAGGTTGCAGAAGCAGCCTAGGAGTCTCAAGTGAAATGCAGCATCACAAACCGCCGAGGAAAAGGGCACTCCTCGGAGGTGTGGCTCTTCGGGAGAGGACAGCAACGCCTCGACTGGGATCCACAGGCAGCTCTTCTGCTCCTCCCCAACCCCTTCCTGGCACTGGGGTGTGGTGTGGAGCCCGTGGGATGGCAGGAGCCCCTCCCTTACCTCCTGTGTGTGGAGTCGTTTTTGCCGTCAGTCTGTCTCCTGGTCCTCATGACAGAGGCCACCTTCTCCAGAAGCAGGCGGTTGTCCCTCTGGATGACGGAGAGCCGTTCCTCCTCCAGCTGCGGACAGAGAGGGGGCGGGAGAGCACCTGCACCGATGTCGAGGCTCTTCCTCATGCCACGTTTCTGTGACTTGAGTGCCCTGGAAGTTTTACACGGCCTCGTCTCATATGGGCGAGTGTGCTGTTGTGCCTCAGCGGGAACCGTACACGCAGGGACACACTCTCAAGCCTCAGAGGGGACTGTACACGCAGGGACACACCGTCACGCCTCAGCGGGGACAGTACACACAGGGACGCACCCTCAAGCCTCAGAGGGGACTGTACACGCAGGGACACACCCACGCCTCAGAGGGGACCGTACACGCAGGGACATGCCCACGCCTCAGCGGGGACCGTACACGCAGGGTGGCACTGTCATGCCTCAGTGGGGACCGTACACGCAGGGACACACCCACGCCTCAGTGGGGACCGTACAAGCAGGGACACACCGTCACGCCTCAGTGGGGACCGTACACGCAGGGACGCACCATCACGCCTCAGCGGGGACTGTACACACAGGGACGCACCGTCATGCCTCAATGTGAACCGTTTGCACAGGACACACTGTGTGTCCCTGTGCACACAGTCCCTGCTGAGGCGTGATGGTTCCTCCCTGCATGTACGGTCCCCGCTGAGGCGTGGTGGTAACTCCCTGTGTGTATGGTCCCCGCTGAGGCATGACGGTGTCTCCTAGTGGGCACAGTCCCCGCTGAGGCATGACAGTGCCACCCTGCATGTACGGTCCCCTCTGAGGCGTGATGGTGCGTCCCTGCGTGTACAGTCCCCTCTAAAGTGTGACAGTGTGTCCCTGCGTGTATCATCCCCGCTTAATAAAGATAGAGATATTTTATTCCATTATAAGAAGAGAACATTTGAGCCCAGAGGAAAAGAATCTGCCTCTCAGTTTAGGCATCTAAGGCCTCGATCTGCAGATAAGCAGATAAGCTCAAGACTGGTTACTGGGCTTCAGTTCAGCTCATTTACAACAAACCTTGCTTAACAGGCACATAGAAAGCCCACAGCATTTTGTCCTGGAGGCAATACTTTGAGATAACCATGCAATTCTCACTCATCAAATGACCTAAACTTCAAGAGATAAACAATGCCTGTAATCCCAGCACTTTGGGCAGGAGAGGCAGGCAGACCACCTAGGTCAGGAGTTCGAATCCAGCCTGGCCAACATGGCGAAACTCCATCACTACTAAAAATACAAAACCTAGCCAGTCGTGTTGAGCATGCCTGTAATCTCAGCTACTTGGGAGGCTGAGGCAGGAAAATCACTTGACCTGGGAGCTGAGGCTGCAGTGAGCTGACATTGTGTCATCGCACTCTAGCCTGGGCGACAGAGTGATTCTATCTCAAAAACAAACAAACAACCCAGCGTTCTGAGGTGGTTAAGAAATGGTTCACAGTGAAGGAATGATGCTAGTTACCTGGAACAGCACTGAATACGTTGTTACTGTGAACCACTCCCCTTCCCCCTAAGACATGATGCATTATGTAAACCACAAATAAAGTTCTAAACCCCTCCACAACCCCCAGCCGACTAAACGGACCCCTCCCCTTGGCCAAGGGCATTCCTAAGTTAAACCAACAAACCAGTTCAGGCCATGATGGGAAGTGGGGTTGGACATGCCTCATTGTGCCCTCATTCCGGTGGGATTCAGGCACAGCTGACCAGCATTACGGTTAAAATAGAGACCTTAAGACTGACGAAAGGTCTCTCTGTAGCACTAAGATACCAACGTGATAGATAGCAGGCCTTAAAAGCATTGCAAGTATTTTATCCCCCAAAATATTTTTTTGACTTATTTTGGAAGGGCCCTGCAAAGCTGTCTCTTGTGAAAAATCTACATTCTGTAGAGAATCTCCTTCCCTTTCCAGGTCTTCTTCATGATCCAGGAGAGAATTTACTAAGAGTCTGGCACCTTCTAAAGTCTGATGAGAAACATTTACAATTTATTTCCCCTGAAGCCCGCTACCTGGAGGCTTTGCCTGCAGGATAAGAACCTCGGTCTCCACAACCCCTTGTCTTGACCCAGACACTCCCTTCTATTGATTCAGGGTCTTTAGATAAATTCTTTCAACCAATTGGCAGTCAGGAAATCTTTGAATCCACCTGTGACCTGAAAGTACCCCTGCCCCCACTCCAAGCTGCCCTGCCTTTCTGGACCAAACCAATCCACGTATGTGTACACCTTACACGTATTGATGGATGTGTCAAGTCTCCCTGAAATGCACAAAACCAAGCTGTATCTTGAACACCTTGAGACCACGTTCTCAAGGACCTCCTGGGGACATGCCATGGGCATGTCCTTAGACTTGGCAAATGTCCAAATTGATGGAGCCGTGTGTCACACGCTTCTTGGTGTACTGTCAGCATGGCGACAGGGGAAGATTTCTCCTGCAATTACCAAACAGCTCCCTCAGGGACATATGGGCGAATTCATCACCTAGACTGCGTTTTGCCTTTGGTGAGTTTATTCCTAACTAAACCTGCCTTTTCTATTCTCCTGGGCTTTTAAGCTGGCATTTTCTAGTCAGCTATTATGTTAAGAAAGGTAGAAATGAAAGTGTACCTTCAGCCTCTTGAGCTTCAGCTGGAGGTGGTGGAACGTCAGCGGGGCACGGGTGTCTACCAGCGGCTGGGCGCTCTGGACCTGGGGCGTGAGGAGGCAGTGTTAGCTGGGCACGGTGTTGCAGAGCGTGAGCTCAGACCCTGCTGCTCTGGGGCCTTTCGTGGCACCAGGGATTCCATGTCAGCCCATGGCATGAAGTTCTGAAGGAGGCCTGTGCTTTGATTCGGAATCTGGGTATCTCCTGGAGGGAGCCAGGCACCCTCAGAAGTGAGCCTCCATTGACCTTTTAAAAGAGAGAATTAAGTGGGCGCAGGGTGGGAATTCATTAAATGCCAACCACCTGATGACATTTGCAGCCTGCACTCTATTGCCAAGAGGCCTTTTATGCAGTGAGTTATGTCCCTGCATCCGCCTCACTTTCATCTCCAAGCTCTCCACCAGCACTTCAGGATAAGCATCTTACGCACGAGTTAGCTGTACAACCATCTCTAAAGTTCCCAATTGGGAAATTTACAAATAAGGGAAGCATTTATATTTTAAAATGCGACAGGTTAAATGTGTGAGACCTGTATGCATCACTGCCTGCAATAAAAATCCCTGCACATTCTGGAATGTTCCTTTACAGACTGATAACTATGGAACCTACTCATGGATAACCTGAAGGCGACAGTGCTGGAAAACTGCCCAGCAGAGGGAGAGACCCCGAGCACGTGGAGAAGGATGGCTGATCTGGGGACAGAGCTCACCAGATGGCCGGCCTGGGACAGAACCCATGTGATTGCCAGCCTGGGGACAGAACTCACGGGATGGCCGGCCTGGGGACGGAAC